TGAAATTCAAATTAAAATGGCCGAGTTATAAACCTCCCCAAAAGGTTTTCCAATAGCAAAGCTGACATTTCTTAGAGGTTTTGTCCGCTGCTGCTATAAAGTTGAATGGGTTAAATATCTTGTAGGTTTTTTTAATAATGTGATACAGAACATGGTAGAAGTATTCAGGCCAATAGCCGAAAACTGACTTTGTTGATGGAAGTTTATTTTATTTATATTTATATATTTTTAGTTTACGGTTGTCTTAAACCCAAAACCTCAGATGATTAGTTGCAGATAAGTAGTTTATTTAACTGTATTAGGGTATGTCATGTTATATTTCCTTTTGACCAAGACCTGATTAGATGAATAACATTAATTCATTAAGGTTTTTAATGTTAATTTGTCCTGTTAAAAGGTTAAGCACCTTATCAAAATATTAATTTAATTTTTTTAATCTTGTTTAACTTTGTAATTTGAAAGTAATGGATGCTGTAGTAATGTCTTTCACATCTGTGAAGATGAACAATAAAATTGTTTATTTACAAGTTATGACTCTAATTAATTTCTGGTAATACCTCTCATAACCAGCATAGGTATACTCTACAGTTCATGGAATATTTTATTTAAATGAATAAACTGCACTTAGTACGTGTGTAATTGAGTTATTCAAGGTAGAACTGATGTCTGCTGAATGGGATGTTTTGCACCGTATTTTTACATGATAGTTCCAGCAAAGCTATTCATGTAGCATTCAGGGGTGCCCTTTTACAAACATAGAATGTGCACTGTTTGTTTTGCCTTTTTTTTTTTTTTTCCAGTGGAACATGGAAAGTTCCAGTGGAAAATAAAATTGTGATTTATAACAAAACCCAATAATACTCAAATAATGAGATGTGATGTTTTTAGTTTGGATAAAGTGGTACACACATTCTAGAAATATCTTTCTACTTTTTTATGGTTTTGTTAGATGGTACTATCCTGTGTCATGTAACTGGGGCAAGAAAGGGGACAGGTTTAAGAAATGCTCAGATACTTTAGTTTGCCATTATTGGGCAAGTTGTAACACATGCACAGTTTATTTGGTAAAGTTGGAAGATCTTCCTTCCAGTTAAAAATCTAAAATGCTGATGTCTGTCAATGCATGCTAATTGTTTAAAACTAATACTTCAATACGTGTATTAAGAAGGATGAAAACTGATGAAATTGGAAAGCTGCGTTATATGTTGATTTTCTTTTTTTTTTTGGCTTTTTCTTCAAAAAGTGTTTAACTCTTTATCTGCTCATTTTTCTCCAACAGTTAGCAATCTATTTAACCCTGTGGTGCTAGAAGTTGTGATTTCTACATGTGTTTGCACAAACATATAATGTGGTGAAATCCAGACTCCCAGCACTGAAAGGGGTTGTGAGAGTGTGTTCAGTATTTGGAAACTTTTTATTGTTTTCAGACATTCCTTAAAGGAGCATTATCAACTTTTTCAGGTTCTTCTCTAAAAATGAACAAGGATTGCTTGCTCATAGCAGTGCAGAAGCCTGTCAGAGTTTAAGGAGCGTCGTCCGGATGCTCCTAGTCATATAGTTTAGTTTTGGGGAGTTCTGTGAGGAGCAGATTTGGACTCCAACTTGGTGTTCTATGACTGCAGATCAGTGTATGTGTTCTAGCTTGTAACAAGCATTGTCTGAGTTACACTTTGAGACAGCACTGACAGTCCTGGTCTATGAAAGATGAAAGAGACAAAAACTGAAAGAACGTCGGTGAATTTTTAAAATGAGAAAAGAGGAAAAACATTTTCTTTTCAGGCTTTTTGCAGGTATTTTAAATAGTAAGAAATGAGGATGTTCTGAATACTGAAAATAATTGATAGTGCTCCTTTAAAAAAAAAAAAAGTTTAATGTGATGCATTTTAAATAGTTGTCATTTGTATTGAAAATAATGTTGCTTTAAAATGTTTTGAATACTAAAGTTGCTTTTAAAAAGATCAAAATAGAATACAGAACTACAGCGAAGAAACTGAAATAAAAGTATCAATTTTTTATTATTTATTCAGGAGATTTCACCTAAACCACAAAGTCAGAAAAAAAATGAAGCTGATATTAGCAGTTCTGCCAACATTCAGAAACCTGCACTGTTATCCTCAACTTTGTCTTCAGGAAAGGCTCGCAGCAAGAAATGCAAACAAGAATCTGGAGATTCTTCTGGGTGTATAAAGCCCCCTAAATCACCACTTTCCCCAGAATTAATACAAGTCGAGGATTTGACGCTGGTCTCTCAGCTTCCTTCTTCTGTGATAAATAAAACTAGTGAGCACAGACATTTTAAAAAAAAATACCGTAATTACTTACAAGAGATATACAGAAAATTTTTTTGGTTGTAAATGGCTATTGCTTTTAAAAATGAATCTGCTTTAAATAAAAAAGTCCAAGTGGGAGAATTAGGGGTAGCTCAGTATTAAAAGTCAGGTCACAGAATAAGGCATATGAATTACTCTACTGGAAATAATACATTTAAATAATACATTTATATTTATAGAGTCATGGCTTTTAATGGTTGGCTTTCCCTCCAGCTTAAATCTCCACATTAGTATGAACAGTGAAACAGGAAAAGTCAATCCTTTCTTCTGAAGGGGCCTGATTCATTAAAAAGAAAAGATGTACACCTTGGTTGTTGACCTGCCCTTCTCTGAGAAATTCCGCCTTCAGCAGGCTGATGTGCTGTCCCTGTTGGCTGTGGCATTCTTCACCTTATGTGATATTTCCTGCAAATATGATGTAAAAGAGAAGATGGGTTCAAGATGTGTGGTTGGGAAATATATAAAAAATCGGGTTTCTTTTTCTCAGAAAAATGCCGTAGGTGTTCAGCTTCTTAACATGTATAACTGATTTGCAAAGTACCAAAATATGGTTATCAGAAGAACAGGGAAAGGTTTACGCTGCATCGTTGAATATGCTATTTTTTGTGAATATTAATTTTTTTTTTGAGATTACATTAGGTTTTTAGTGTTGCTTAGGGTCAGGCTCTTTGTTGCCTGAAGAACATTAAATGATGAGGCTGAGAGTTGAAATAAATGTGGGTTCCAGTAAGTCGAAAGCTACATTTTTGTTTCACTTTTAGAATAGTGATTGAGGATGGAAGACTATACCTGCATCGTGTGTTCCCCTTAACCTTGATTTGATAATTTCCCTTAGGAGATAAGTGTCTTGTAATCTTTTCTCACAGATTACTTTAAATGAATGGGAGAGGGAGGGCTGCAAATTCAGCCATCTTTCTTTATTCTGGACATGTTGGTATAAATTGTATTTTGTCCCCACAAAATATTACTGGTCTTCTATATTGTAATATAGAATATATTGCCCTCCCTCCCCACCCCTAAAATAATGGTAAGTAGTTTTCCTTGCACGTGTTTGTATTTTGGATTAAGTTGGATTTCTCTGTAGCAATATTTTAAAAATAAGCTAATTTAAAAATTGGTTACTTAATAGCTTAGATCTTGTTAGTGCTTTCTTTTAATCTTTGGCTTCTAAGTCTTTAACACTTCTAATGGAAATTTAATTTTGCTGTGTCTATTTTTAAATCTGTCTATCTTTGACTGTAAAAACTTCTTAAGAAAAGGAGAGAACAGTGATTTACAGCGTAATGATGACTTAAATGCTTTTCTAGGGCAAAACTTGTGAAGCTGGGTAAAATTGGAGAGGTGTAGGGGAGTGTGGGTATTTTGTTTTTAATGAATCAGGCCTATATTAACCTATATCAATCACCGCCCCCTTTTTTGTTTTAAGTATGAGGTTCTTGAGCCTTCTTACTGCGCCATACATTAGCAGTGTGCATTTGAAACATAGTTGGAGCATTGATATCAGGTTAACAGAAGACAGGAGGTGGGATATAACATTAACCACTGTGTTTGATTATTTTTTTTAAGTTGTATGTCACCACTATTAACGACTCTTTAGATCTTTAACTGTGACCATTTGTTCTGCTTAATGTTAAATCCTATTGCCCCCTTCCGTTATAAGTAGCCTACTCTCATGGGTTATCTGGGGGGGTTGCTTATTGTAAGTACACTGTTTGCCTAAAACAACAGCCTTTATCACTGGGGAAGTACGTACCCTAATATAATAATGTATAATAAGCAAAAAGCAGAATCATATCTTGAGCATAACTCTTTTTTTTTTTTTTTTTTTTTTTGCTCCTGGTAGTCACAGTTTTTAATTACTTTTACCAGTTCTGCTGTGATTACCAGCTTTGCAAATAAGAGCTATTTAAAGCACTCCCCATCTTTAGATTTCAAATACTGCGGTAAGATTATGGTATATCTCTCTGCTTCATGAACATTGAAAGATCTCTTTTTAGGTCCATCACAGCCAGTGAATTCCCCTAGATCCTACAAACATAGTCAACGGAGAAGAAGATCACAGCGTTTAGCCACTTGCTCCTTGCCTGATGATTCTGTAGAAAAAGTTTCTTCTCCCTCTTCAATTACTGATGGAAAAGTGTTCTCCATCAGTGGTCAAAACCAACAGTCATCAAAATTGGAGGGTAATGTATCTTAATCTAATAAAGAACTGCCCAAGAGAAATTGAATCATAAAAATGAGACCTTTCACGGTTTTCATCTAACGGGATATTTTGACTTGCTGTAGCTAAAGCTGTATGCTGTTCCTATGTTACGTAATGCTGCAATCCAAACTGTTGTTTGTTGGACCTATGTATCTTTTTTTAATATTACATTTTTTCTTTTATGTAGTACCTGATGTTGCTCATATGTCACTTGAGAAGCGTGGACCATGTCTCCCTCTTGATTTAAGCCGTAGTTCGGAAGTTACAGCACCATTATCCACAGAATCCACTTTCCGTAATGAATATCCCAGTAAAGACAAGGAAGATATTCAGATGATTACATATCTTTCTTCCAAAGCAGTAACTGATGGAAGAGTAGCTACAACAGCGTCAGGTAAAAGAGATTCAGTATACAACCAGTTAGGCTTATAGTTGTAGGGTTAAAATGTGTATATATGCAGTCACACAGAAAGAGGGGGATACTTTCTTTTTTTTCCCCTTTCTGCACACTCACAAACCTGCCACTCTTCCTGGGATCCGTCCATCTGCATATTCTTTTTCTTCCACGGGCTTTAAGCGGCATTAACACTTTCTCTAATACACTTAAAAGAGGAGGATCTGCGAGTGTGGAATATAAAAAGCAGTATTTCTTCCACAAATATTTTATATTATTAAAACTTGTAAAAATAATTTATTAAGTTGTTTACTAACATACAATACCTATTAAATGTAGCTATACTCAATGATCTTCAGCTTTAAAACTTAGTAGCATTTTGCAAGGCAGTCAGTATTCCTCTACCTTTGCTTCTGTTTGCAGTGGAAAACTTGTCATTTGCTTGCTCTGAAATGTTACTTGAAAATATTTCTGAAAAATCCTCTAAACCTTTGATAAACCTGGATCACCCTCACAGAGTTAGCATAGAGCCCAATACTGGAACTCTCTGCTGCTTCTCACTTTAACAGCTTACTGGGTGTGGTGGTTTAAGTGAATCACTTGGATAGAGGCAATTAAGAGTTTGGGGGAAGGGTTTACATAGTGATTTGCAGATGGTAAAAGTGGGTTGTTTTCATCCAGTGTATGTTTGGTGTCCATATACTTATTTCATAAATAAGTTTCTTATGCGGGTGAGTATCATACCATTTTTAATTGGCTTCCAAGAAAAAATACTCTCACAAGCCTTTTGGGGGGGGTTTTGGGGTTTTTGGGTGTTTTTTTTTTTTTCTTGTTAGATGAGAAAATTCTTCAGTAAAGTGAGAGGAGGAAAAAAAAAAAATCAAATTATTGTACTCCGCTGGGGAAGTTTTTGGTCAATATGATTGATAGTAAGGCAGGACAACATGACCTTAAGGTATATGATTATGGCAGTCAAATTATAACTTAGTCTTGTTTAAGGTGTGTCGGGGGGGAAATAGCAACTTTCGGTCTGTTGATAGTACAGCTGCAGTGTTCAGTGGGTCAGTGAAGCCTTTTGTTTAGTACGCACAGCCCCTTCTTGGGTGTCTGCTCACACATGCTCCCGCTGAAAAGTGTAAGGTGATCGTTTCATCGAGTTGTAGCATAGCTATTTAACATGTGTCAAAAGCTGGGTAGGATTCTTGGATCAATACTGTGTAAATTAAAATAGATGATTGCAGTTACTATTTCTCTCAGAATTCTATTAATCTCTTACACTAATTTGTCAAAATAAGGCCTACGGAAATTTCTAATGAACTGCCACTTAAGCTTTTAAAAATATTACTTAATTTCTCGAGTGAAATCATGTGATAGTCTTCCTTTGCCTTTGATACATTTCATAGCAGTAGAATTGTAGATTTCTGGGAAAATTACTTCTGTAGGAGTCCTTTTATCTCGTGTCTTCTGCCACTAAGAGAAGTGCTTTCGGGAGATGTGTATTTGCCCACTCATAGAACAAGATCATAAAAGAAACCAACAGCTTCCAACTGCCATCTGTTTCTCGTTCATTAGAACTCATTTCAGTTACTAGAAATTGAACCTCGGGCTTTTCTGGATCATTTAATGTGTAGCTGGTAATGCTGAGGGGTGTTTATTTTGTTGCCCACTGGCATCATGGGACTGGCTTGGACTCTTGAGTGAAGTGGTTCTAAACCCTGCATCCATGAGTACACCTGTACCTGTTTATTTGTTGAGCTGGGTCTTGATCTTGGCCACAGCTGAGTCTAATTAAAGAAATAATATGATTAATTTATCACCACCTTATTTATGACTCAAAAAATATTTGACGTATCCACACACTTTGTGTCAGGGGAAACCATTCCCTAACAAAATTATCTGGTATTACTCTTGAGCCCAGAATGGGAAGATGGAAGCACTTGTAACCTATGCTGGAGGATACAGTTTATACTGTATTTAAAGCTTAATGGAGTTTTTTTGGACATACATAATTTTAAGAGTTATAAGCTGTCCAGAAACTGATTTGCCAGCTACCTTTTTATCTTCTGGGTTTTTGCCTTCCAGACAAACCTGTGTTTTGTTCCTAATTTTTATGTATTACAGTTTTCCTCCACACAATAGAACTCAGTCTTGAGCTTTCACACTGACTTTTTGTCCAAATGTTAGAATTTTTCAGAAGTATGCAGCCCAGCACCCACTTGAGCAGTATAAGCTTTGTGGGCTGAAAGACTAATCTAAGCAATCTGGTACCTTTAATTCAGAAATTTCATAGAAAGTTTTGGAGTTAGATGCCACTGTCAGTATTTTTAGGACTCTGTTCATATGTCTTTTGGGTTTATCTCAGGCTTCTAACTGTGGTGAAACTCATTTGTCTCCTATCCTTCTCTCGTACTTCTTAGAAGAAAAAGGAAAAAGTAGCCTTTAAGTTCAGGTTTGAAACCTCTGGAGTTACTCGACACCATTGAATAGTTTTTATGTATTCTCTGCTTTAGAAGGCATCTTTTTACTTTTGAAATAGCGCAGGTTCTCAAGTCATGTTACTTAAGCACATATAGTTATACCAAGTTCTTGCATGCTTCATGAGAATAAATAAAATCCACTGTATTTGTCACTAGTTTTCCTTTTCTAATGAACCTCTTTGAACAATGGCAAGGTAATATATAAAAGAGAGGTGCCCAGAGCTTTCCTTTTGCATTCCTGTTGATGCTTGAAATTAATTGTGAAAAGTTAATTTGCGTTATGCAGGAACATCTACCTGACTAAGTGTAATTTAAGATATTGCATTGGTACTCAATAGATCACAGTTTGAGAACACTGGTGTAAAATCCAGACTATTCTGTAATTGTCGGCATTTTTTTTAAATATGAAAGGACTATCTTAAATCTATCCTTCTATGATATTTCTGCTGTTTAGATTTTATTGACGCAGTCTGGACAGATCTGGTGTTCTAGATTTTGACAACACTATTGAATTTGCTAAGTGTGTTGAAGTTGGACCTGCTGTTGTCTTAATCATTGAAGCAAATAACTGTAGATAGTTTTAAAAGTTATGGAGGTGCCGGAATTACTTAGCCTGAAACAACCTGTTATGATCACTGTCCCTTCTGTAAAAGAGCTGTACTGTTTTAGACCCAGAGATGCAATTTGTGGCTTTGGAAGTTTAGTCTTCTCATGCGGGTTGTCACTTGAGTCAATTGAAAAAAGAAGTTCATGTTGTTTAAAATGATGCATTTCAGTCACTTCTTTATTCAAAAGATGCTAACTTGGTGTTTTCAGAGGGAAGGGATGAGGTGCACCGAAGTGCAGAAGCATAAATGGCAACTCCTAGTATTAACACACAGATCCTTTCTCAAAATCATCGCTCAAAATGAACAACTTGCCATTTTGTAAAGGTGGCACAAAAGCACTGTGATCAATTCCTTCAGTCCACCGGCTACGTGGAAGTACTGTCTGCACTTTGGTAGGCACTGGTATGTTACCGCTTAAGTCTTGAACAGAGGTACTGCTTTGCCTAAACTGGTGTATGGACCTACTGGTGATCACCCGATACTGCACGCATAACTAGGAATCCTTGCTTTCGTTTGTCAAACTGCTTAAAATGTACAAAACTGGATTTTGGTCACTTAGCCTTTCATAGGCTTTAAATTCGCAGTCAGTCTGAATACATGCAAAACACTATAGTTTTCCAGTTCGGACTACATGAAGTTCAGATCTTTCTGTAGTTGGCATTTTCTTTGAATTCACTGTAACTTTCTTGGTTTCTGTAACTCTACACCATTTGCGTTAGTTTAACTGTTATGTATTGAGCGAACGTAATTTCAGCGAGCAATCTAGGTTGTAAAATTTAAGTAAAAGGAAAATATTTACATTTACTTATATAACAATATTAATAGACTATTTATAGTAGTAATATTACAATATTATCAGCTCTTACTTCCTATTCTATATCAGTCTGGATAATTTTGCTAGTAGGGTAACATTAGGTTAACTGTATGGGAGAAATTTTTACTTATGCTAAAAGAGATAAACAGTACATACTTTCACATAATTTTATTGGTCACGGTTTACTGCAGCAGGAACAAGAAACGGCTGATGTACAAAATTTTCAGAAAACGAGATCAGTCACGTTTTTAATAAACTCTTGCCAGTGTTATTGGTTACCCTGCTTCTAAGAGGTGTTTAGACTCACTCTAGACTAGCGAGCCAAAGCTGTTGTAACTCTGGAGCTGTTTGTTCTACTCTGAACATCTATGGACAGTCAGGTTTGTTCTCAACTTGAATGTCTGCCCTTCTAATCACTACCCTGAAATTCCTAGCTCATTCCTGGGATAGTTAGCTGAAGGCAAGCAAAAACCTTTCATGTCCTCATCCTTCCTTAAGGTCGTTTTGTGCAGGATCCGGTATTAATCTGTAACGTGTATTTAAAGTGCATGTAGATAGAAAATTCATCCTGTGTACTGGGAATTCTAAACAACAAATTAATTATCATAGAACCATGAATTATGCTGGTCATGTTATGATTTAAGTTGTATATTAATGCAGATGATATTTCTGTTATTAAGCAAGTCGAAACATCAAAAGCCATGGAATAGAATATCATGCAACAAAATAAGTTGCTTCACATCGGTACAATTTATTTTAATTTGCTGCACTGAAATAAGCAGTACCACTAGAAGCCCGTCTGTGCTGTAGCGCTTGTGGCACAGCGTTCTGTTCTGTGCTCGCGCGACAAGGCTTGTGTCACCTCCCCGTGCCAGACCGGCAGAGGTAGCATTGGAAACGTGTCGTAAAGCAGACTGAAAACTGCTGTGGTTTGCATTTTTCTTTAATCTGAAATCAGTCTTCTGGTGATAAAATTGATCTTAGAACAATGACCTCATCATTACTTTATCAAGTCTAATCTCTAAGCATCTTTCTCTCTGCTAAGTGTCAATTGCAGACCTCCCATGCTTCATTGTGTGGGAGGTGGCTGACTAGACAGCAGG